GTGAAAGTGGTAATTAATTACGTTAATTACGAATTACGTATTTACGGTAATTAGCTAATTACCATATCATGTATAATCTTCACCTTTTTCAGGTTCTAAACCAGTGAATTTGGAGCTCAATTCACACCATTAATAACATCTCTCATTTTGAGGTGACTTCCTAATCCCATCATTAGTATGTTTTCATGGTCATCAGCTATGGGCTAAAAATTGAAATTTCATCACTCATATAGGTCAGTGTCTTTTGGACAATGATAACTACTTTTCTCCATTGTCACTATAACATTCAGCTGGGATAACCAGCCCTCATCACTATACCCTTGGTACAGCTAATACAAAACAGTACAAAGATCATAATTATACCAAAATTATTACCAAGGTTTCTGGTCCATTTTGAAAAAAAGTAGCTTTGACAATAGTTTATGCTTCTCAATATTTTTATAAGAATGAACATGAAAAATAATTCAAAATAATTTGCTCAATTTCAGCTATTAATAAAAAATAGTTTGGGCTTATAAAAAATTAATTTTTGCCCAAAGCATATTAGAAATTTCGGCTACTAAAAGAGATAGTTTTGATCAGAAACCTAACCCAAACATACCTAAAACATAATGAATCAGCCAAAATCCATCAAAATCGGTACTGAATTTCCTGGTACAACTGTGGGCAAAGGACAATTTTCAAAAAAATAAATCTCACTCTCCATTATATATTTTTTTTCCTTTGCTTCCTTACACCAAACCATTTTTCTATCCAAAAATGCATTAATTTACACCTGAAACCTCAAATTCAATACTTTCTTGGTACAAGGATGAAATTGTACCATGTTTGACCCACTCTTTCTACTGGATTTTTATATATCCACCAGCTGTGCCAAGCTCTTTGTACCAAATTTTGGATATATATACACATTTTTTGAAAAAAAGAGATTTATAGTACAAACATTGGATTCTTGATCTGGCTAATATTCAGAGGAAAGTCCCCCACCATACAAGAATTTACCCATGTATTGAAAGATCTTGGATTAAAACCTAAATCAAAAAGAATAGGGACCAAAAAAGTAATAAAAGGGTCCAGTGGTATGAAATTTCATATGCAAGTCTATATGCTTTGTTCCGGAAAAGAAATATGTTGATGATGCAGAGAGTCTCAATGAGCCAGGAGACTATCAGCCTGGAAATAACACAAATATTCTCCTTACTGAAATTCTTCCAACTGAAGATCCTCCTACCAAAAAAAATACCATCTCCAGAACCCAAAAAGCCAATTCCTAAATCTCTTGCTGAATGCAGTAAATATTCTGTACCTGAGCCCAAAAAAGTTTCGCCTCCTATTCCCCCAAAGCTGGCTAAATTTCAGGGAAAAGTATGGAAGTTCCAAGTATATCTATGGAAGCTAATTCTTCTATACCTGAGCCAGCTAAACTCGAAGTAAAAAGTCCAGAATTACAGTCCAAATCAGTGAAGATGAATTATTAGTACATTATAAGATGAAATAATGTTCCTGAAAATGAAATTCCTGAGCTGATTTCTGAGCTATCTCCAGAGTTACATTCCAAAACCAAAGATATTCAATCAAAGGAGATAGAGTGTCTGCCCATAAAGAACCAATTTCCAATCTGAAACCACTATCTATAAGAAGTATGACCTCAAACAGATGTATGTGAGTGAAAGAATAAATTGGGGAAAATCCTGATGACTTTGATTGAGAATGCTTTATTTTAGAAATAGAAAATTTCTCTCAGAAGATAAAATTTGAAGCTTCATGGCATCATTCTCTTAATATGCTTGTGCAGTACCAGAGAAATAGATTAAATGGAAATGACCAGTATTCATCTACTTCTCCCACCAATCAAGAAATTGCATCCAAAATTTCCAAATATCTGAAAAAAGGGGACAGGTAATTATTACTCCTCCAATTGGCCATAGAATAGTTTCTATTGAATCTCATATTTAAAAAATGAAATTCTCTATTATGGATGAAGGGCCAATGATAAAGTAAAAGTGGTTGTTCCATCTTTTTTCAAGACATATTTCATATACATAAATATTTTTTTTTTGAAATAAATTGATCTACCTCTTTGTCATACAATAAATTGGTAAAATTTTATTGGTTTATATAAATGACCAACCCAAATGACCTTAATGACCATCAAATGAAATGACCTATATAGTCATTTGGGTCATTTGGATTGGTCATTTCAAATTGGGCAAATGACCTGGCCATATCACTACCCCTGTCAACATATCCATCTAACAAGTGCCCATTATGGTCTGTGATTATAGATTCTATTATTCCATCCTTATTTCATCACAATTTTTATAGTTATATTCAGCTACAGCCTTGGCTTTATGCCCCCTGTGGTAGAAGGCGCCATTACATTTGGGATCACTGATTTCAGACTTGGAGATGATATCAGATGTGTTTTGTTCACTATGTTGACACATTAATTCTGGTGGTATAATATTCACAAGAAAAATATTCAAAATGAAATTAATTCTGAACTAATTACTGGAATGATGGTCAGTCCTCAGTTACAAACAGTTCAAACAAGTTCAAGTTACATGATGGTCATGGGTACATACACCAACCTGTCAATCAATTTAATACTAAATCACAGCCTAATAATAATAGGCAAGCAAACATCAGGTAATTGTAATTCTTAACAATAATAATAATAATAATAATCAAATACAGGGAGCAATCATAATATGTAATATTTTATTTATAATAATAATAACATTTTGTCTAGTTCAAACCAAAGAAAATGTTCATCTACATAAACATAATCTATCTTTCTACCTTTTTCATTAATAAATAAACTATATTTACAAAATTATGTTAACAAAATATAAAAATATTATTTTTTAGTTCTTTTGACTTGTGGTAGTGTAGAAAAAGATTTAACCCTTTTCTTTTGATTCTCAAAGCTAAATACATTTTCTTTATCATCAGTTCGATTCATTTGATGACATGCAGGAGCTATCACAAGCTTTTCTATTAATAATTTAAGCTTTTCCATATAATACCCCCAATGTATTATTTCACGCACATCAAATGATTCCATTTCTGGATCTCCAAGCCATTTCCTCAGGTGAGCTTTTTTGACTTCTTCTTCAGCAAAAAATATATCTACTGGAATTGCACGTTGACTTAATAAAGCATTTCTTGGCTTAGAAGATATGACAAAGTGACAGGTTATCTTGCTTTCTTTAAGAATCTCATCACCTAGGAACTCTGACATACGATTTATCACAGCTCTTGATGAACTGTCATTAATGGTGGGACTTGCATTGTATTTTACACTAAAATATTTAATCAGCTCATTATCTGAAAGTGATTTGCCTTTCAGTATAATTATTTTTAGAAAATTTTCAGATAATCTATTGACATGCCAGTAACATTCCTCCAATGAATTTCCTTTCAAAAATTCTGGCAAAATACTTGCTTCAAAAAACCTCATCAGGTTTTTTTCATTAAATTTGACCAAATCATTTTTTTTATTTTCTTCAAGACTGCCTGCTTTTGTAAAAGCTATAGTGATATTTTTTAAGCGATTATTACAATCAAACTTTGGCATAATAACTGCTCTAAATCCATCATCAATTTCAAAATAATTATTAAAGTCTCGTTGCTGATTAACAACTTTTAGATTGGTCCAAGTTACATAGTTGATTAGCAAACAAGGAAATGAAAAAGAAAGTTCATTCCCATCAGATAATTGTAAAGTAAAATTCCCAGGAAATGATTCTGGTAACATACACCATATACCATCATTATCAGTTGCTAAAATTCTACCTATTTTTTTAATTAATTCATTTGTTTTTTGATTGATTTCTTGTCGCTTTATTAATAACTTTTCTGCTATATCTTCTAAATACCAACGTGATTCCTTATGCATTACAAAGTGACCAAATAAATCTAGTATTGTTTTATAAGCCAATTGTAATGAATTATTATGATAAATTGTTCTAATAACATAAAAAACTTTTATAAAATCTTGCTGTTGGTTTGCTTTAACGAGTTCTATTTTCCAATAATTTAATTGGTTCTTGTGGTGATGGTAGTTTTCTTTTAATTCTGATATAGTAGATAAATAAAAAGCACGTGTTTCATGCATCAGAATAATGTGTTGATTTATGTGAGAAGCATTTATACGATAGATAGTGGGCAATCTTTTAGATGTTGTACATTTTTTCAATGCCTGCACAATATTTGTTTGAACCTATAAAAAGAAATTTGTTTAATATTTATTTGTGCTAATATATATACACACACACATATAACTTACTGTTTTAAGATTAATAAAATTTTCTGTTTTTTCTTGATCAAACATTCCTATATTCTTAAAAATTGAATAAAAATCAAAATAAATATTGTGTTTATTTTAATTCAAGATTAATTAGAAATACACAATATTGATACATTTATATATATATATAACATACACACACCTCTCCATATACTTTGTTAAAAATTGCAAATTTCAAGATATCATCTATACTTTCAATGATCTTTAAAAAAATAATAGATAAACAAATTACCATTTTATAATATATATTAATTAAAAGTTTTTTTATATGTATAATAAAAACCAAAAATTAGATAATAACCTTTTCAAAAGTTTTAGGATCTAGATTAAAATTAACTGGCAAATCAGACCTGAAAACCCCTGTATCAAAAAATTTAACATTTTTGTCAGATCTTTTTTTTGAATCTTCCGGACTTTTGCAAGGTGTGTATGACTTGGGTATGAGTATATTAGAATTATACGCATTAACCTAAATAATATCATTAAAAATTGAGTATGTACATAATGAAATAATGAATAGTATTAATATTAGCATCATGATAATAATAATTACCATTAACAAGGTTTCACAAAGAAGCTCTTTCTCTTGGCGCAAAATTTCATCAGGATTTAATGGAACAATACTTGATAATGAAAATATGAATGACTTGATGCATTTTTCAAAAAGAATGTAGGTGGCAACTACATCTGAAGCAGAATACCGTGCCAACTTTGATGGATCTTTATTTGCAAGTCTGTTTATTAAAATATATATTAATTTGTAATCTGTTAGATCACTGTTCTAACTAATTAATTTTTTACATAATGCTTACATTGTTATTTCATCTGGATCTAATTCATCAGGAATGTATCCTAATTTAGATTCAGTTACACGCTTAAGACCTTGACAGCCCAAAGGAAGCTCACTGTATTTAGTAACCCAACAAAAACAATCCATATGAATACAATATGAAGATTTATATTCACTATTTTGATTAGCAGAGAATCCTATTTCCTAATTTTAATGTCAATGGTAATGTTAATGTTAATTTGGTTAAAGAAGAAGATAAATAATTAAATGTTTCTTTAATTTACATTTTTCATATTAATTCCATGTTTTGAAGCACGCCCTTCAATATATGGCATATCAAAGAAATCACCATAGTATGTGACTAATATTGATGGCTTTTCTTTTTTTATATGCCCAAAAAATCTTTTGATTAATAATTCCTGGTTTTAAAATTTATTTGTTATTAGTATTAGTATTATTATTAGATTTTTAATTATTTTTAGAAAACACAAATATAAAGATTTATTATTTACCTCATTCTTCTCATTGAAAATTGTAAAATTATATTCATGATTCATTGGTGAGTATGATAAGGGATCAATATCTTTTGAAACAATTGATCTATTTGTTATCAAGAAACCCTATAACATATATTCAAACATTTAAGATATATCTATATAAATGGATAGATTATACAATCTTACCACTTACATCATTATTGAACATATATGAAAGCATCATGATTTCATCACGATGATGATTTGGAAACAATTTAGGTGGTGTTGCAACCTCTATATCAAAAGCCTTTTTCAAAGAATAACAAATTGAGTAAGTTGAATGAATTGGATCAAATTACTGTAACTAATCTCTTGTTATTTATATTTACTAAAGTTTTTATATCACAAATACTCGCAATATTTGTTCTCAATCGCAAGTCAGTTATGATACTATGATTATCATTACTATTATTTAACGTAACTTCATACCATTGGCCAGCTCTAAAACCTAATAATGTTAATCATTAGTTTTATTTATTTATTTACAATAAATAAATATAATTTATTATTACCTTTATCAATTGCGACACGTTGAATATACGGAATATCATGTTCAAGAATTTGAATATTTCTTCTGAAAATAATAATAAAACAATATTAGTTTTATCAGAAGAAAAAAAGAAGCGAAAAATATATATCACTAATAAAAATAATATCTACTTTTTTACAAGACTGTTGTATACAATATTCAGTTGCGACACATTTAAAAAACTTATTTTTAATAATTCTATCTCATTACGTTTAGTTGTTGATTGGACAAACTATTAAAAATAATAATTTAATATCATTGACTAATATATGTGACATTTTACAGCAAAAACCAACTCCGAGACGGTGTTAATATCACGATCTTATGTAATGTTACACACTATTAAATATTATAGTACACGTCATAGAGATGATTTTTGCTGGTGATGATGATGATGATAATGATGATGATAATTTACGTTTCGTGATATCAATTTCGTTATTTTTGTAATATCATGGACACGTGAAGGAATTTGTTTTTTTAAAAATGAAATTTCCTCATCAAGTCCGGGCTATATGAACAAAATATAAGAAGGATAAATTTCAATATATAAAAAATATTTCATTTAAAGTAAAAAAAAAACTTGCTAACATGATATCTTATAAAAAAATATGGCGCATAGTACATCGTAGCCGTAAATGGCTCACCATTTTCGTCACAAAAAACAAAGTTCAGACCCGACTCACGACTTTTGGACAAAACCTAACCATAGTTACATTTATTTAATATGTATTTTTTAATTAATAATTAATATATTTATTATTTCAAAAAAAAAATGTCTTGTTATTGTTTTCATTTTATAATATTAAACAATTTTTACCTGACTGAAAGTAATAAGCCAACCTAGCTTGGGTTTGTTTTTTTTATTAAAAATTTTCATTTCTTCAATTTTGTAAAAAAAAAAAACTTTTTTTAAAAAAGAAGTTACTTTAATTTGAATCGCGCGTAAGATCATTCCATTTATAGGCATTGATTTTCATTTTTCGCAATATTAATATTTTTCGTGAAAAACAAAGTTACTGCTATAATTGTCTCTCTAAAAGTCCTACATTTGCATATTTTTATCTCTGCCCTTTTTATTTGCAGTCAAATCTCTTTATAACATTAGTAGATGCAACTAGGGTCCGTTATAACAGGGTTTGACTATATTGAGAATTTTCATTTGGTTTTTTGACACGTAAAATTTTTTTAATAATAAACTTAATTCCAAGATAACAAACATGTGTTGCAAAACTTTAATAAAAATTATAATTAGGCTGAATATTTTTATATCTAGAAATAATAATAGTGGTTAAATTTATTTTAAAATATATTAATAAAATTAATAAAGAAGTTAGGTTGTTTACCACCTTCTGACAAATTTTTATAAAAAGATATCCAATGCAATGAATGAAGCATCATCTTTTCAGGCCAAAATTCAAATGGTTTAAATATTAAATCATGAATGGCTAACTAAATTCAATTGGTAGCATATACACACAAATTCTTACACCTTTTTCATATATATTTATTTACAAGTCCATTACATCACTAAATTCTTCGTTTTCTATGTCTGTTTTATAGCATGGAGTTCTGTTAATAATTTTTTCAGTTGAACTTAAGTTAGATATATAAACAAAAGAAATAAAGATTCTCTCTCATATTTTAAAAAAAAATAGTTATATATACTGTAGATGATAATTTATTGAATCAAGTTTTATTATTTTTTTTTTGAATAGAAATTATTATTTTTTTGTATATATATATTTTCTATACAATTATTCATTAAGAGAGGTAATTGTGGCAAACAAATATAATTGGTATATAATTATATTTCTCATACCATATATATATACATGTATAGTTCTATATATGAATTTTATCAACTTGTAAATTTATTTTTTAACCAAAGGTAATTAATAATTTGTTGAGTCAAGAAGATACATCTATCCACTAATTTTTAGTGTCCTTTGTGGTTCTTTTCTTCTTTGTTGGTGATGGATATATAATATCATCATTACTAGTGTCTTGGGCTGCTTTGATCCTTTTATGGTTTGAAAACATCACAATTAGCCTCTAATCCATTTTTTATCAAGTTAAATTCTTTTAAGATATATAGTACAACTTTTACTGTGCAAAACAAAAAAAAATTTGCTCTTTCTGCTATTGTGGAATAAGATTCAACTGGTATTTTTACTTCGAACAAGCTGCTGCGCACACATGATAAAAAGGTCCTTTTCTCATACATCAGCAATTTGAACAAAGTACCTATTAAATAACAAATAATATAAATGAATAAATATGAATTAAATAAAAGGAAATTATTAACAAATCTTATAAATACCATGAACAAGAATGGAAAAAATATCAAGACAGTTAAGAGTATTTATTATGGTTTTGTCCATGACTCTTCCAAAGTTCTTTAAAAATTTTCCTATTTGTGAATCTTTATTTCTTTTCATATATCTTATTAATTTCCTCCGATCACTTTCTGTTTTGGTAGAAATTGGTTTGTATGGTGGACCACTTACTTCACAATACAAAAATTCATATTCATCAGACTCTATTTTTATTGTTGCTTCAAGGTCAGGTACATGGCCACTACTATTTTTCACTTCATACTTAATAGATTCATTTGAGTTCAACCACAAATCATAATTACGACACTGTTCATAGTTTATGTTTCCCTCTTCTGCTATGTCTTCCCTAAATATTAATATTAAATAAATATTTTTAGATAATAATGCTTATTTACAGGCCAACAAGGAAAAGGTTATAAAATGGTTCAGATTTTGTTTGATATGTTACATTATAAATTAATCATATTCCCATAAATTTTCTGTTTCTCTTTAATTTTTATTTGACCAACTGAACTTATTTGTTATTTGAATGGGGGCTTTTGCCCATGTAACCCACCCTAGGTTAAAGGAGCATAGCTCAATGAGAGCACATATCTCATAAATATAAAGGTGACAGTTCGATTCTGCCCACTACTATTGTGATAGTCACCATTATCATGGAGAAAGCTATAAAATAAAATGGTTCAGATTTTGTTTGGTATGTTATAAATTAATCATTTTCCCAAATTCTCTGTTTCTCTTAATTTTTATTTAACCAACTGAATTTGTTATTTAAACAAATGGGGGTAGTGTGAGATCAAAAAATTCCATCTCACACAAATCTATTGATTTGGTTATAATATTATTTATCCCTTCCTATGGCAGTATCCAGTTATGTAATTCTTTGATTACTTTCTTTCACTATAGCGCTCAAGCTATTTAATTATTTACAGGGCAAGTTTTCTTACTTCCCTTCCGGTAACGTTTTCTCAGCAGTTGCTATGTTTGCTGCCTGAGCCAGAACGTGTCAATTATTATCTCTTCTGATAATAATCCCTGTATCCTCCTTGATACCGATGTGTTGTGTTTTGATGGTTCAGTGTTTCTTAACTGACCGCACCTAGCTAGGGTTTCCACTTGTTTAGGTGTTGGCCTAATCTAAAAATAAAGAAAATAAAATTAAAGAAATATATACAACTATACTTATCAAAGGCGTCCCCCTGGTAAGATAGTAATTAATTATTAATTACGAAAATGTAATTTTCGAAGATAACAAGGACAAGGTCAAGGTTTATTTATTATAATATTTGAGTTTACTAAAAAAACTAATAAAACTAATAAACTTTTTTTAGTTAAAACTAAAGATTACATGAAAGAGAAATTTACAACGTATTTATACATTTTAGAGGTTCTATCATCTAGTTCTCCGATTTCTTTAAA